GTTTATCGTTATACCCAGGACTATCAGTCTGTACTGGATCGTCAAATAATTCCAGAAAAAAATTGTTTTTCAAAACACAATGATGATCTGAATGATGATCTGAATGATCTAAGCCTTTAATTCTCAACCATTTTCTATTCATAACCCCCTTTTGATTGATTATTTTATGCCCCACTTCTAGCCGTTTACTTTAACAAAATCTCCTTTTGTAATTTACGAAACAAATAAATAGTGATATTTTCCATATAAAGTTCAAAAGTGCTTGTGTTTAATAACCAAACCAGTTAAATAAACTTTTTATTTCGGCAAAAAAGTTAATCTCATAAATGCTAAACAAATTAAAAAAGTTCTGCAAAATAAAAAAAATGCAAGTTATGCAAAATATCAGGTCATCCCATAAGTTCTGTCCGAATTTTAACTTTTTTGTTAAAATGAACGAAATTTAAAGAGTATTTTATAATGTCTAATGGAGCTGAACATTATTTTTTTAGATGCATTTCAACTGATCAAATTTTTATTTCAGAGACAATAAAATTAAATTTTGTTTGATTAAAACCCTGCTAATATGGAAGTACCCAAGAATCATTTGTGGCACATAATTCTTTATGAGTTCAAGAAAGGAAACTCAGCAGCCGAAGTGGCTAGAAATATTCACTCAGTTTATGGAGAGGAATGTGTGAATGAAAGAACTTGCAGAAGATGGTTTGCAAAATTCAGAGGTGGAGATTTCACCCTTGAAGATGATGATCGAACCGGACGTCCAGTTGAGTTTGATGAAAAGCTTCTTGAAGCAGCCCTTGAAGAAAATCCTGCTTTATCAGTTGAGGAATTGGCAGTGGTTCTCAGTTCAAACCATACAACTGTTCATCGTCATCTTCAACAACTTGGAAAAGTTCCTAAACTTTGAAAATGGGTGCCTTATGAATTGTCTGAAAACAACCTCAAATCCCGAGTTGATATCTGCTCTTCTCTCCATTCTCGCCAAATTGTTTCATCTTATTTGGATAGACTTGTGACTGGCGACGAAAAATGGATCTTTTATCGAAATGTTAAGCGTCGTAGACAGTGGCTTGGTAAAGGGGAAGGACCCCAGCCACAGCCGAGAAGGGAACTTCATGGGCAAAGTGTTCTTCTTTCAATCTGGTGGGATCGCCAAGCAATAATCCACTTTGAATTCTTACCACCTAATGCAACAATTAATGCTCAAATATACTGTCAGCAATTAGAGCGTTTGAACCAAGCTTTGAGTAAAAAAAGACCTGCTCTAATGAATCGAAAAGAGGTGATGTTTCATCAGGAAAATGCGCGACCCCACACAGCAAGAATCACGTCACAAAAGATCGAAGAACTTGGTTGGGAGAAAATTCCTCATCCACCTTATTCTCCCGATCTTGCTCCTTCAGACTACCATTTGTTTCATAGCTTACAGAATCATTTGGAAGAAACAGCTTTTGTAACACAGGAAGAGGTTAAAACTGACATTTGTGAGTTCTTCGAATGAAAGCCAAAAGAATTTTACAGTAATGGAATTAGTAAGCTTGTTAATAGATGGAAGGAAGTCATAGATAATCAGGGAAAATACATTGTTGATTGAATCTATAATTAAATGTAACATTTGATCACTTGTTTTCTTTATTCACAATTCGGACAGAACTTATGGGATGACCTGATAAAAAATAAAATTCTGCAAAATAAAAAAAAATAAAGTTATGCAAAATAAAAAAAAAATAAAGTTATGCAAAATATAAAAATTCCGCATATAAATTTTAAATAAATGTAAACTAATAATATAAAAAGACTTGAAAATTATTTGATAATACATAGTTAATGTATAAAGAAGAAAACGTTATAATTTAGTTGATCATTAATGCTCATCTGCAAGCTTTTCGATATCAAACTCGAATGTTGTCCGTAATAGACGAAGATCACCTCTTTTTATGATGTCAATTCGGTTACGAGCATTTGATAGTAAGTGTCGAACATGGCTAAAGTCAGCTTCAACAAGGTATATTTCAATCACATTATTTAAGTTTATTAAAACTAAAATATACAGGCTCTCAGAATTGTAGCAATGTGTCCCTTGTCATTGAACTTATGCACACCCCAATCCCAATTTTATTTCTGTGGGCCCCCATACAATTTACCATTAAATTTGTGATCCCCGATTAAGAACGACTGATCCATGGTAACTTATGATAATGATTCTGATAAGGTCTTCCATCAAAGACCGGAAACCTTGAGCAAATTAATAGCAAAATTAGTCCTAAATGGATCATCTCACCTGGTTAATATTAACTTCAGTACTATAGTGATGCCAAGGATGTCTCCATGCTTATAATGAGCCATTAAAGGATTGAGGAGGCAGGCAAAGAAATAATAAAGCTGGCTTGTAGTCGGAATTGTGGAAAGGTAGTCTTCTCCGCGGCATCTATAGTTGGACGAACGGGATGAATTAGATACAGCTTTTGGTTCGGATACCACCTGCAACTAGAGAAGAATTGGTCGAAAATATTGGATAATGCCAAGACTACAGATAATCTTTAGTTCCCTGGAAATACTTAAATTAACTGGTCCGCTTATATATATATATATATATATATATATATATATATATATATATATATATATATATATATATAAGCTCCTGAAAAATTAATTTCGGTTGAGCTCTCTGGGGTGGAGGTGTGGATTTGTAAACAGTGACTATTATAGCTAATATAGCGAGACTCTTCGTAAAAAAGCGAATTGAGTCACTGTCGGTCACTGTGTGTGTTTCTAAAAATAAATACACTAAAAATCACCTTCATCCCTCATCCCTTCCGTGCGCCGATAGCTTAGTGGTAGAATCTCCGACTGACACTAATTCAGTCGGGTTTCGATCCTAGCTAGAGGCAACCGGATGTCTAGCCACACTGATGAGCTGCGAAACAGTCTGTCTGTGGATGACCTTATATAAAGGAAGATTTTGGAGTGCAGGCTAATTTTTTGGAAGAATTACATATATCAGACTCCCGACTTGGCACCTCGATGTAGTGTAATGGTTAGCGAGTTTGTCTTGCTAGAACTGTTACGACTGAGGAGTTAGTTCGATCCTCACTGGGCGCCCCGTACTTTTCGCTTTTTATGAAATCACAATCAGACACACGACTTTGTCTGAATCGAAAAATATTGATTTATTGCCATGTTCATAAATTAAAATACAGTATGAAATCTATACCTAAATTCATAAACAACAAGGTCATGGCAATATTAACTGTTTCCTTATAAAGAAACAATCAGAATTCATTGATGGAGCAGCTAAGTAATATTTCTGCTAAAATTTATATATTTTTGTGATGTCAACGAACACTCGTTGTCACTTTTAAAATGCTCCTTGTAGTAGAGACTTTGTGACTGTAGATTCAACTATAGTACACCGTTGAACAATACTGGTATCAGACGCCTTCGAATATCACTTGCATTAATAGTACTTGCTCGATAATACTCGCTCGAATAGTATAGTGATCCGAATAGAGAAATATTATAGTGAAAAGAGAAGAGAATAGCGGTCTGTATAGTAATAGAGGATAGAGTAGAAATATCTATGCGAATAGTAATAGAGGATAGACTAAAAATAGAGATCATTTAGACATCACGCGACTTCCTACCTATGTGTTTCTCCCATGGTCACGTGATCCACTTAATCCAATAATGGGATCGCCTGTGTTTGCTCACTGGCGATCTATGTTCAAACTCGAGTGTCGGCAGCGACACTTTATTCCCATATAGCACATATATTTTCTCCTTTAAAATTTTTTTCAGGAAAATAGGTTTCTGAAGTCCAGTAACCGTTATCGCTCTTTCCAGTATTGAGGTGGGGGTATCTTCCTTCGTAATCTTTTGTTGTGTGGAACATTAACGTTTTGACTATATCATTATTTTCTCTTTGTGTGACATGTGATATCCATTTTAGTCGTTGTTGCTTTTGAAAGTCTTCGATTGGGTTTCTGTTATTCTGTAGAATACTTAGTAATTCTGTAGCACCATTCCACTAGGTTCCAAGATGGGTGGTCCTCGCTAAGATGTATTTTAACCATTGATTTGAGAAAAGGCAGCATACAGATGTTGGTGACAGTTATGACTTCCACTTGAAGGACTATATCTGACGAAGCTATTTGAGAATATGACTAGAGTTTTATCTCTAATTCTCATCAGTTGATTGCTTCAATCATCGGTGGGGATCTAATGGCAGAGGAAACAAACAGCCTCCTCGAGGATGATCTTTTGGCGATGGCTCTCAGGACTACCGGCAGTCCTCAGGACTACCGGCAGTCCTGTCCGTCTACAATTTGATGTTGTCTGAACAGCTCTTGTGTTGCCGTCCCCGCTTGCGTCCGCCTTCGACAGTGCCTTGCATGATAGAACTCAATCTGTTATTTACCCATAGATGGGGGGGGGAGAAGAAGAGGATTCCCAAAGGTATTAGCACATAAGTGAATGTAATAGATCCGACTGGAATTCGAAATCGGCTCTCCTATTCCTCAATCCGAGTCGCTATCCATTACTCCACCGTGCCTCCCATCACTATAATTATCTCCAAAAAAATTCTTATAATCTAAAAATATTTTATAGTTTTAAATAAAATAATAAAAGGTTAATAAACCGTAGAAAACGGATCGCTCAATTAACCACTTCTAAAATGACGAAATTTTAATAATTTATTGATTATGCCAAATTTAATTGGTAAAGGATGGTTTAATGAATGCTAATCTATAAAAATGATTCCCTCAATATTTCCTTGCTTTTTAGCATCTGACCTGTTAATTTGAATTGTATCGATTCTGTTTGTCATTATACCGCGGGGATAAAAGACGCTTGACAAGTTTGCAGTGCCGCCATTTGCTCTACATAGACTGAAGCATTTGCGCTACATGAGTTAAACTGCGGGAATCGACAGCGTGGTGGTCAACGGCTTCAGTCTAAAGACTGCACCAAGGGGAACCTGAAAGCGACGCAGATCGATGCAAACAACTGGGAACAGTTGGCTGTGGACCTCCCTGCATAACACCGAACCTTTCATAACGGATAACAATAATCGAAACACCGACCCGGAGAGGTGGCCATCATGCGATTCAACCCCCCCCCCCGCATCCTGTCAATTTTCTTCGGGTGCCTTCGTGGAATACGACGAACAGTCGATGATGGTTGTTTTGTAGAAAGGTAAACCCGCCGCGTTTAATAGCAACTAGCAGTAGAGCCCGGCGTTGCCCGGGGATGTAACAGTAAGAGATAGATCAAGTATCGACCATCATAAAGACTGAAAAATAAAATTGACAAAGATTATTGTTTAAGGTTGATGGACAAGCATGTCTTAATTAGTTTTATTTTCTTTTTTTTTTTTACGAATTGGTCTAACCCAAACTCAAACAAAAACATTGTTTTCAATTGTTATGAGTCTACCGATTGAATAGAATTTTATTATAAACAATTGTCTTGTAAATGAAATTTTTAAAGCATTCTGAATGTAAAAAATAAAAAAAAAGTGTGCTAGACAATAAGAAACACTAACTGCCAAAAAAAGTGAAATTTTGTTGAAATCGGTTGAAAAATGTAGGAAATCCGATCCCATATATATAAACGAACACACACACACACACACACAACAACACAAACAACCTGGGTTTTATAATAAGTATAACTCGATATGAGTTGTCCCCTTTCATTCTTGCGATGCCTCTTAATCGTTTTTTCAAATTGATTTTGTTTAAAAAACAATTGAGTTTTTCCAATTTTTGGCGGTGTCAGAACCACCGCAAGGTAATTTTACGTAGTCCTGTGAAGTTTTGTTGAAATCGGTTGAAAAATGTAGGAAATCCGATCCAATATATAAACGTACAGACACACACACACACACACAACCTGGGTTTTATGATAAGTATGATGATGGGAATGGTGAATTGGGTAACGCGGATGAAGAAAGTGTATGGCGATTTGTTCCTTCCTTTCCATTCTCTGGTTGCCATATAGAGTGCGCAGCTTATATTTTATATAATAAAGCATTCAACTGTCAATAAATAGCATAATTAAAAAAAAATCCGTCGGTCTACTCAACTTTCATTTTAGTATTTACCGATATATAAGAAAATTGCGCCCTGAAGATGACAATTTGAAATTGTCGAAAGTGCTTGGCATGTGTCTTCTATCTGACAACAACTCGAATATAAGGGTTTTATTATTTAAAGAAATAATAGTAAGTTAATGTCTCCTTAAGTTCTGTTAGCGAAGTGATTTCGCCATTAATCGCATTAACATTTCTATTCACTTCTTTTGTATAAATTGTGTTTTATATATATATATATATATATATATATATATATATATATATATATATATACAGGATATATAAAGCCAATGCAATCGAGGCGACAGTTTGCAAATATAGCATGAAACAGACTGTTTAATTTCTAAGTGTTGACTTTATGTTCACTTTTATATTTACACACGCTTTATCTCTGATATTGAGCCATTTATCGCATAAATAAATATATACACCTTAAGACTATATTTCTTCATATATATATATATATATATATATATATATATATATATATATATATAAATGGCGGTTTGTTTGAAAAAAAAACCTCGGATAGCTCAACTTGCAATAGAACAAATCGGTATTGGGGGAAAAACATGGAATGAAAAAAAAAAAAAAAGAACCAAGAATATTAAAACAAATTGAAAACAATTCTCCAGTTTTAAAATCCAAGTCCAAAAAAAAAAATTCCCAAAACGAGTAAATTATAAAAATAAAAAATAAATTTTCCCAATTATTTAAATAAAAAAAAAACATACAAAGATCCAAACAATACATCGAACATTAAGCAGTCTGAAAAACATGTTCCTAATTTTTCCTTTCATAATTTTATTTGAAAATTTGTTTGATATTGAAACCTAGGTAGGTTTTTTGATGGTTTATCTAATATATATATATATATATATACTGTTCTGAAAATATGTATTTAAAAAAAAAAGAAAAACCTTGATATATAATCAGCGTGTTTTATAGATATTTTTATTTTTAAAAAGTAGTGATCAATTTAAATTTAAAGAGCATTAATAGAAAGAAAAATTGATTTAAAATACTTTTTTTTTTTAAAATATATGGAATATAAATATATATATATATCAATATATATATATATATATATATATATATATTTAAATAAAAAAAAGAAAGAAGTTTAAGATATAAAATCCGGTGTTCTTATAGATATTTTTATTTTTACAAAATAGTGCTCAATTTAAATTTACAGAGCATTAATATTCGCTTGATAATGAATTAGAATTAATGCTTTTAATTTATGTTTTTTTTCCGAATAATAAAAAAAAAACCTTTGAATTTTAAATTTTAAATTAATTTATAATATATATATATATATATATATATATATATATATATATATGAATATAAATATTTAAAAAAAAAAAAAATTTGGAAAAAAACAAAAAAAAATTAATTGGCTGCTTTATGTTGTTTAAAATGAATGAAATGCCGACGTCTGACGTTTCGGTTTAATAAACCTTTTTCAAGACAATATTCATTAAAATACAATTCAGTTCAATTTGACAAAGACGATGGACATAAACAGCAAGTCTTATCCAAAACAGATAACTGAAAATTTTAAAAATGATCAGCTTTCCGTTTAGCATGTGCCAACAGCTAAAATTAATAAAAGGGTATCTTGGTGTGGGCTGATTGACTTTTGCTGTAGATTAGTTAGTACCGTATTCACTGGGTGTCCCATAATTGTGGACTTCTGTCAAAATAAGGAAAGATTTACGGAAAGAGCCCCTGGGTTCTTTTTAACGAGTCAGTCTGGTTGATTATTATTCCAGAGATATTCAGTTTCATACATACTGCGTAAATGTAGCCTTGTGGCAAACTTACTTTGTGGTTTATAAATAACAATGTACTTCACCGTTTATGAATCTAGTCTCATCGTCACTCATTGAATGCTCATTATTTTTAGCCTTGTGCCAGACGAAGCTGATAAATAGTTACGAATCAAATGTTTCTTTTTTACAGTTTCATTTTTTTTTCTTTTTCTCTTTCGCTTTTCTCGTTATGATTGCTCCTCTGATGCTTTCTCCTTCACACAATTTCTTTTTCCTTCTCTTTCTCTTTCGCTTTTCTCCTCTTATTCTTTTCCCCTCGCACGGTTTCTTTCTCTTTCACTTTCGCTTTTCTCTTGTTACCTTCCTCCTCTTATTCAATCTCCTTCACACAGTTTCTTTTTCCTTCTCTTTCTCTTTCGCTTTTCTCTTGTTTTCCTTCCTCCTCTTATTTTTTTCTCCTTCATTTTCCTTCTCTTTCTCTATCGTTTCTCTCTTGTTATCCTTCCTCCTCTTATTCTTTCTCCTTCGCAGCGTTTTTGTTTTATTTTCATTCCTCTTCTTACTCCCCCCCTCAACATATTTGCTTTTCATTCTTCTCCTCTTTCGTTTTTTTTTTCTTGTATTCCTTCCTCTTCGTATCCTTTCTTTCTCACTGTTTTCTTTTCATCTTCATTCCCTATTTCTTTTGAATTTTACATGTTATCTTTCTTATTATTCTTCTTCCTCCCACAGATAGTCTCTTTTCCTTCTTCTATTCTGTATATTTCTTGTCTTCTTCCTTTTTTTTCTTCTTTATCATTCACACTTTTTCTTTTTCATTCTCATTCTCCTTCCCTTTGGCTTTTTCTTGACATCTTTCCGACTCAACTCATTCTCTTCGTCGTCTCTTTGCATTTTTCTCTTGATGGGTATTTTCTTTTCTGTTCCTTCGTTTAAACATGTTTTTATCTTGTTTGTTTTACCTTTCATTATTCTTTCTTCTTCACACCGTTTCATTGTCATTCTACGTCCTCTTCGCTGTTTTCCCTTCTTATTTTTTTATCTTTCTTATTAGAAGAAAACTTCTCATTTTCTTCCTTTGTTTTTTTTTTTAAAATGAATTGTTTCTTTATAAATTTTTTTTTTTCATTCCGATTTTTTTTCGTTATATCGTTTTTCTCCCCTTTTCATTCTTTCTTCTTCACACAATGTCCTTTCCATTTTCAATCTCTTTCTCTTCCGTTTTTGTTTTCTTTCGTTTTCTATTCTTATTTCTCCTTCACACAGTCCTTTCCATTCTCTTTCGCTTCCGCGTTTTTCTCTTTATCTTTCTTTTCCTTATTCTTTTTCTTTCATACGCTTTTCTTTTCCTTCACCTTCTTCTGTCTTTTTTTTATTGATTATTATTTTTTTCTTTAACGCAGTTTTCTCTAAAAACTTCTTTATTGTTTTTTTTTTTCTTGTGTTTCTTGCTTTTCGTATTCTTTCTCCTTCAGACAGTTCCTTTTTCTTTCTCTTTCACTTTCGCTTTTTTCTTGTTATCCTTCCTCCTCTTATTCTTCCACCTTCACAGTTTCATTTTACTTCTTTTTCTCTTTCGCTTTTCTCTATTTTTCTTTCCTTTTATTAATTTTTCTCTTTCACACAGTTTCCTTCTCATTCTCTTTCTCCTTCTCTTTAGTTTTTTTTTTTTTTTCTTGTGTTCCTTCCTCTTGGTAATACTTTCTTACTCACCCCGTTCCCATCGCCCTCTCCTTCCATTTCTCTCTTGATGAATCTTTTCATTTCTTCGTTTAAACTCGATCGTCGGAATTCCTCAGACCTTATCAATCGCCGACGCCTTCATAAATCAATGTTGGCTAGTAGAAATGTCCGACCGACTCCCTAACGGAAATTTTCTGTCCGCGAAAGATTTTTATCTAAGTTGGGTGAAGGGAACAGAATGCATCGTGTACCCAGGGTCCATGGGAGATAACACACTCAAATAGGATTAAATGAGAAGAAAAAGGGGATTGACAGAGATAAATGGCGAAGCAAAATAAAAGATTACCACTGGCAAAAATTGCTTTCGACCAACCCGCCATATTGATGAAATTTATGACTCGATCACCAATGACATCGATTCTAGTATTGAATCTTAATACTAAGTAGGTTCTATATATATATATATATATATATATATATATATATATATATATATATATATATATATATTATTTATTTAAAAATATGATTCCAATATTTATACATAAGAGTTCTCATGTTTAAAAAAACATATTTATTTAAAATAATAAAAAAAATAATAAAAAATAATAATAAAAAATTTATATTTATACTCTACTTTTGTATCGTGCACTATTTTTAAAAAATAATAACAAAAATACTAAAGAACTTTGGATTATTTACCTAACGAGTTCTTTCCTATTTTTTCTATATTTTTACACACACACACACACACACACACACACACACACACACACACACACACACACACAAACACACACATATATATATATATATATATATATAAATAGATAGATAGATAGATAGATAGATAGATAGATAGATACACCTAGTGAGCCAGACAAACCTACCATTTTTGTTGAATAAATATTTAATCTTAGGTTTGTGTTTGTGGTTATTTATATATATGGTATATACTTTAGCTATCGCCTATAAATATGCGTTTTCTTTTGCCTCGTTAGCCTTACTTTCCCTGACGATCCGTTTAGGTGAAACCTAGGTAGGTTTGTCTGGCTCACTAGGTGTATCTAGGTCTGCTCTACGGTTGTATTGAGCGCTTTTTTTAGTTAGTTGTTTACTCGTATCGGGTTTTTTTTCTTTGGGCTTCAGACCTGCATCTGTGCGATTTTTTGTCGGCAGAAGTTCATGTTTGTAGCTCTTTCTTTTTTTAAAAACTTTTTTATCCTCGAGATTGATTTGATTATTAGCAAATCAAAATTGAGGGTTTTTCGAAACGAGTCTAGTTATATATATATATATATATATATATATATATATATAATATAGTTAATTTATATATATATATATATATATATATATATATATATATATATATATATATATATATATATAATTTGTGTATTTAGCCAGAAAATTTTTTTTTAGGCATGTTTGATTGATTAAATTTATTCATTATGTCTGCTAATTTTAACAGAATCCGTTCATACTCACGAATAAATAAGACATTTAAACTACAATGGCACATTTCTTACATCCTTTAGCATCAATACACGGAAGGTTATTCGTTAGTAAGATTTCATTTTAAAGTCTTTTTTCACTGTTCTATAGCTAAAACTCCTCTCTCACGTACCAAACGTCTTATGGATTGAGTTGGATCTTTTCTAATTGATCTCTTTAGATCTAAGTTGAAATGATGATCCCTCTTGCTGTTGTGACCTCCTGATCCAGTTTTCCTCTCTACTGTTCCCTCTTTTTTTAAACTTATTCACTGTTCTCTTGATGGTTCTTGAATGGAATTTAACTTGCCGTCTTTCTAGCGGAATAACTCAAAAGGTTTTTCAGTGATTCTTACGACTAATGATGTCAAGATGGTTATGCTGTTACACGATTTGGACAATTTTACTGTTACACCCATTATATATATATATATATATATATATATATATATATATATATATATATATATATATATATATATATTTATACTGCTATTTGGTTTTTTTATTCTTTTTCATCGACCACCAGATTAGACTAATTTTTTTCTAAATTTAACTAATAATAATAATGAACATACAGACAAAAACAATAATATTAACATCGACAACTATAATCACAATATCTACTCCTAACCTAATGGTGTTAGTATGAGAAATCCCCTCTTCAACTCCTACATATCTCATGTAGAAAACACGATATTTAAACAAGCCAGCAAAATCAAAATATATGTCCGCTATCTAAACAATATTCTATTTTAACCAAAAACAAACAAGAAATTTACAATGTCAAAACCACATTCGAAAAAAAAAAAAAAACTCTGTCTCCCATTCTTAGATGTTCTTGTAGAATTCACCATTTCATTATGCAGAAACCCCACTAGCAAATACTCATGCCACCTTAATTTTAACAATGAATTCCCACGCGGGAATTCACCCTCTCACTTTCTTTTCCTTAAAGAACTCAATGATGTAAAACAATCGCTAGTTAACAATGGTTTTCCTAACTACTTCATCGACCACCAGATTAGGTTATTTCTTTCTGAAGTAACCAATAGGGAATACTGAATATACAGATAAAAAAATAACATTAAAATCTTCTATAAAAGCCTAATGCATGTCAGCTACAGGGTGCTCCACAATACAGTAAAAAAATTTGGTACAGTTTATTTAATTGTTGGAAATTTTGTTACAGTTATTCGGAACAAAAGCAGCAGATAGAAATTTAGTAGCTTACAACAGAACAAAAACACAAATGTTAGATGTGGTGTTCAAACTAAAGAACTCTAGGTAAAATTTCTTGGCATTTTTTCAGTTCCAATGTCGGATGTTCTTTTTTTAAAGAGACCAATCATCTCGCATAGAAAATTTGGTAACTGCGGAATTCTGGAACAACAAATGGTTTAAGAATTTATATTCATTCGTATTGTAAAATATACAGTTAACTTTTATATGTTAGTTAATTATTTTCTTCATATAGGAAATCTAAAATTTCTTGGTTTTTGTAGAGCACCTTGCATAAGCAAGACGAATTTTCTCTTAGAAATATAATAAAGAAATATACAACCCCAATCGATCAGAAAAAAAATTAAATTAATTACCCCCCTCCGAAAAAAAAATTTAAACAGTTAACCTTATCATCAATAATAACAACACACCTGCAAAATCTAAATTACAGTGAACCAATATTATTTATGAGTTCACATGAACCTTAATGAACTGCCTTCCTCATCAAACCAAACTCATAAATAATTATATTGATCATACTAATACATCCCTATCTAGACGGCTCACGTTACACTTATATGACCATAGCCCAATTGGGACTCATTCAAACACACACGAAAAATTACCAAAGGCCATCTGCAATATACTAGTAGAAAAGTATAATAGTGTCATCCACATGTAAAAAAATGATTAAAAATAATTTAATTAACTTTATTGATATTAAAAAATTGTCCCCATCTGAAATTGAATATATAATTATTATAACGTTTCATGTTTTGTTGAAGGCATCCCCCTTCTTGAAAGTTCTTGGAATGTTTAAACTGAAAACTGTAGGCCCAGAACTGATTTAACCGTTCTAGTTTCCACCTGCCATATTTAATGGATGTCAGTTATCAGCTATATCCTTTTAAAAATTCAGGAAATAAGTTCTCCACTGCCTTAGTTAAAAAAAACGCAAATGAACGGATTCAATGACACAAAATAAGTGGATAAAGGCGTTAGTTAGATCCAGTGACAGGACCCAAAGAGTGTGAGTTCAATACTTGGTTAAAGCAGAGGAGAAATTGGAGACGTGAATTAACAAGAGATTTGAATGATAACTGATATGTTATATGGAACTAGAAAAGTCTGTAGTTTACCCGAAATAAAGGGTTCAGTTCGGCATTCCAAACCTGAAGAAGGCCGGAGCGTAAATTTTTAAATGAAACATTTAATAAATATGGCGACAAAGATGAGGACAAAAGTCCGAATAATGTAAATCTAAAAATATACATAATATCATATCTCGGAAATATCGACAGATACTAAAGAGAAGAAGAATTGAATAAAAAAAGCTCAATCGCTGCGCTGTTTCTGTCGTCTTTAACGAAACCTGTATCAAAGAAGTATTGCTATATAATGACAATATATATATATATATATATATATATATATATATATATATTATGGCATAAAAAGCAAGAAATTTTATATTATAGGCCATGATAGATTTAAAATAAAACAAAAACACACACCAGTCGACGGTTTCGCCCCTCTCATCAGAACTGTTAACGGGGAACACAAATTATGAAGAAAAAAAAAAAAAAGTCTGTCATGGATGACGTGAATGAATGGATAGGGAGAAGAAAAAATAATTATAAAAATTATAAATATTATATAACAAAGATGCTAGAAACGCAGCACAGCAAGTCCAAGCAAACAATCTCTTTGTTTGCAAAGAGCAGGTCGCCTGGACCTGATGTACAGCGTCTCCAACACCTTAAGATGGAATAATGAGTGTGCTCTGACCAAAACGGAAAACCAGTCCACACTGAAATCCACCGCACAAGGGGGATTCTTTAGAAAGTGATCCGAAATCGAAGACCCATACGTGTTTGGAATGGTATCGCCCAATGAAAAGATTTATTAAGTATTATAGCAGGTACGTGCTGTTTAATTCTAACATCCAAACGCTGTGTCGTTCTACCTATGTAGTCGCATCCACAACTACATTTGAAATAGTAAATAACAGAATTAATATGGTGTTGGGGCGGGGGGTAGAACATCTTTACACATAGATGAAAGGACAGACAAAGGTTTTTTTTTTAAAGTTTCTGCTTCTTTCTCCAATATACTGGGAGGAATACTTTTGGCAAAGTATTTTAAAATTGCCTGCTTCAGAAATATTATTGCTATTAGTGATATGCTCAGAGCATATAGATATGTACAGACTATGATAGATAGATAGATAGATAGATAGATAGATAGATAGATAGATATGAACAGATTGAGATAGATAGATAGATAGATAGATAGATAGATATGAACAGATTGAGATAGATAAATAGATAGATAGATAGGATTGAACAGGTATAACTAGTTCGCTAGTTATATATAGATGAATAGACTATACATAGTCAATGATAGATATATATGAACAGATTGAGATAGATAGATAGATAGATAGATAGATAATGGAGAGACTGAGATAGATAGATAGATAGATAGATAGATAGATAGATAGATAGATAGATAGATAAGAGGCTGGGACAGATAGATTGACAGGTGAAGCTAATAGATAGATAGATATGAACAGATTGAGATAGATAGATAAATGGATAGATAGGCTTGAACAGGTATAACTAGTTCGCTAGTTATATATAGATGAATAGACTATGTTAAATATACATAGTCAATGATAGATATGAACAGATTGAGATAGATAGATAGATAGATAGATAGATAGATAGATAGATAGAGATAGATAGATAGATAGATAATGGAGAGACTGAGATAGATAGATAGATAGATAGATAGATAGATAGATAGTTATAAACAACGCAACATATATTTTAATATAGATAGAAATGAATATATAGAGACAGAGAAATATTAACATAGATATTCATATATATAGATAGATTTATAGATAGACAGAGAGAGATATATGAACAGGTATAGATAGATAGATAGATAGATATGAGCAGTCTAATATAAGTATATATATATATATATATATATATATATATATATATATATATCATGAGCAGATATGATCGATGAAGGAAAATCGTTTTGTCTCCTTAAAAACAGTAATTTGGATATTGCTAACCAGACTCTTCTCTGTAGCTAAATGGTATCGCACGTCAGATTAAATGACAGGTTCCGTATAGGAATGCATGTTCGATTTCTATCAAAAAGGGATATTAACTACAAAATTTCTCGAACATTCAGGCTGGTAAATGTAATTAATACTATTTAATTAAAAACAGAGCATTTACTTAAATAAATTGCATCCATAAAAATAACGTATAAACAGAAAATATATTAATTGTCCATTTTTTATATATATATATATATATATATATATATATATATATATATATATATATATATATATATCTTTCCCTCCCTCTTATTCTAACATTAAATTGTCTATGGTGTGTGTATGTCACCACGAAATGTATCTTTATACATCCGACAACATTTTTTTTTTCTCTTACGTAAACCCCTTCCACCCACCTCTCCTAAAATTCTCTCTGTTAAGGTTTAATCCCTCCTTCTCTAGTATGTTACCCTCATACTTACACTCTCTCTAAATTCTGTTTTTATTTCCGGAGTTGTTTTTTCTGTTTTCATTTTGAATTTGTAGGTCTGATGAATTGGATCGTATTTACGATTCCAATGGAATAAATTATGACCATGGAATATTAGTGTTTAAGCCTTTTTATTATATATATATCTATATATATCTATCTATATATATATATGTATAGATAGATAGATAGATAGAAGCCACGTTAGATATACAGACGAACCTTTCATCAACGGATTGATAGGGGAGGGGGTGGTTCGTTAAAACCGATTCTTCGTAGATGTGAGGGGATTATTTTTTTAGTTACAAAACCACTATAGTAATTACTAGTACCTATGATCATAATGTAAATAATATAAATATGAATATAGGACATAAATAAATATATATTTAATATAGTTATATTAATCAAAATAACAAAAATAATAGATTTCTCATGCACGCGCTAATATATCGTACTTTATATACTGTACACCCATCTTTGTTTACAATCGAAAGGGCCGCCTCCGCCGCCAAGTGGACGCTTTGAGAACTAGTACGACTCGTTTCACTAAACCCGCAAATTTTAAAATAATTTGCTGATGATTTGATGTTATTTTCCTGCAGATTTTTTTTAAAAATTTTGCCTGCAGATTTTGTCCGTTGCATCCGAAGTCCATTGATGGGGGATCCGTAGATGTGAATTTTTTCTGTATATTAATATAGATAAATATTAATATAGATAGATAGCTATGAACAGACTATGATAGATGATGGACAGATGGGAACAGGCTATTACAGATAGATAGGTAGATAGGTAGGAAGTATGATATATATATATATATATATATATATATATATATATATATATATATATATATATATAAATATTAATATAGATAGATATGAAGATGTATAGACAGAATGATAGATGCTATGGACGCACTATGATAGATAGATAGATAGATAGATAGATAGGAACACACTGTTGCGGCTAGCTAGAGAGATATACAGAATATGATTGAAAGATCGATAATAATGTATATATATATATACTAGCAGGAGAGCCCGGCGTTGCCCGGGGATGTAACAGTAAGAGATAGATCAAGTATCGACCATCATAAAGACTGAAAAATAAAATTGACAAAGATTATTGTTTAAGGTTGACGGACACGCATGTCTTAATTTTTTTTTTTTTTTTTTTTTTTTTTACGAATTGGTGAAACCCAAACTCAAGCAAAAACATTGTTTTCAATCGTTATGAGTCTACCGATTGAATAGAATTTTATTATAAACAACTGTCTTGTAAATGGAATTTTTAAAGCATTCTGAATGTAAAAATAAAGAAAAAAGTGTGCAAGACAATAAGAAACACTACCTGCCAAAAAAAAAAAAAAGTGAAGTTTTGTTGAAATCGATTGAAAAATGTAGGAAATCCGATCCCATATATAAACGAACACAAACAGAAACAACCTGGGTTTTAAAATAAGTATAACTCGATATGAGTTGCCCCCCTTCCATTCTGGCGACAGAATCGTGTTTTATCGTGTTTTCAAATTGATTTCGTACAAAAACAATTGTGTTTTTGCGCTGTCAGAACCACCGCAAGGTAATTTTACGTAGTCCTGTGAAGTTTTGTTGAAATCGGTTGAAAAATGTAGAAAATCCGATCCAATATATAAACGAACACACACACACACACACACACACACACAATCTGCGTTTTATAACAAGTAAGATCTATATATCATAATGATATGTAAATGAATGACAAATTGGAAAGAAATCATACTTGACGGATATTTGTGATTTAAAATTATTATTCGCTTCCGCGCACGACAGTTTAGCCGAGCAATATACAGTATACAAATATTACCTCTCCAAAATGTTCAGATTTCAGGTTTGGGAAACGGCATGACCGCTTTCTGAAAAGGGACATTTGTTACCGAACAAAAAATATCATATGAATATTTTACCGATTAATATGCAAGAAATCAATGTCAGGGATCTGAAAGTTTCCTTATATAAACGCGACGGAAGGGGAGAGATAAGAATGGCAGATCCCGAGGAAGACGACAAGAAGAAGTCTGTTCGCAATCTGTCCAGCCTCGCTACTCCTGCTTCGACCACTAGCAAACACATTGGCATATACCCAAAGAGACAAGAATACAGTGCTAGATAACAACAGTATTTCTCTTTACAGGTTAAGTTTATGCTATTTTCATCAAGGCCAATCCTCAGACAGCTAGCTCAGAGATGGATTCATTTGTTCGTTGCCTCAAACTGACACTGGTCTGAATTGCCTCAGTCATGTTCGCATGAAAACCAAAATGGTTGCTAATTTTACTTTCTAATACTACTCAAATTTACTGAAGATCTCTTTCTTGCGCGTGTTCTGAAAACCATTCTATGAGTGGTCAAATCCCGAAGCAATCAATTCCTTAAGTCTTTTAACAGACGATGGAAAAGGTAACGTTGAATCTCGAAGTCGCAAAGAGACAAGAATGGAGTGCTAGATAACAACAGAATTTCTCTTTACTGGTTCGGTTAACGTTATTTTCATCATGGCCAACCCTCAATTAGCTAGCTCAGAACTAATGGACGGAGAGAGATAAGAATCGCCGAGCACGAAGAAGATGCCAAGAAGGTGAAGATGCTGGAAAAATGTTCAGTTCCTTGTGCTACTCAAGAAAGTAACAAATTGATCCTGTCATACTGTACAAGAGTCAGATCAAACCAGAAATAGATTATCTAAGCTGGAGCTCCCCAGTACTCTCTGGCCAAAAATGTGGGTTATGAATAATTTTCCACTCTACAATCCCTTTCCAACAAACGAAACGTTGCTTGCTTCACGCCACTATTTCGCTATTTCCATGGCAAATGTTCAGACGAGCCACATTCTTTAGTTTCATCAATTCAGACGTTCATATCTCAGACCCGCCATTACACATCTATGGCTATTCTAAAATAGCGTGATAGGCGGACGGACGGACTAACGGAAGCCACAGAATTTTATATATAGATTAAAAGTGTGTTCTTTTAGTGTTGTTTTTATTGCTCTCTCTCTCTCTCTCTCTCTTTCTCTCTATGTGTGTGTGCTTGAGTTGCATTTCTCCTTTGTATTTGTTACATTTATTTTTGCATGTGCGAGCCTTAATATTTTTCGATGGTAACTTTGCCTCGAGAGATAAGCGAGAAAAAAAAAAAAAGCAAGTGACAGTGTCTTTCTGTCTTTGTGTGTGTTTGTCGATGTGATGCCTGTGTCATGATGTGATAACTCTCTTTGGAAATAAAAATGGTCTGAGACGAGCTTATCAGAAACATTCGTGCGTGGAATTGGCGAGGTCGGAGACAGGGGAGGTAATGAGAAGACAAAGAGATCACCAGATAAATGTCTGGCGCTACAATTCTACGGGTGCGCAGTGAAAGAAAAAAAGAAAGAAAGAAAGAAAGAAAAAGAAAGAAAGAGGGATAGAAAGAGAGAGGGCAATGGAAAAAAGAGCGAGAGAAAGAAAGATTGAGAGAGAAAGAAATGGAGAAGAGAGAGAAGTGGAAAGAAAGAGAGAGAAAGAAAGATTGAAAATGACAGAGAGAAAGAGAAATACATAATTACAGAGATAAAGAGAAAGAGAGAGAGAGAAGGAGGAAAACAGAAACAGGATAAGAAAGAGAGAGAGAGAGAGAGAGTGGGAAATAGAGACAGAGAAAGGGAGAGATAGGAAGAAGGTAGGATATAGATAGATAGATAGATAGATAGATAGATAGATAGATAGATAAAAAATGCGAGCGAAAAAGTGTTCGAAAGAGATAGATATATAGAAAGAGAGGGAGAGGAAGAGAGTCAGAGAAAAAGAACGACAGATAATTACAGAGATAAAGAAAGAGAGAGAGAGAGAGATAAAGAAGGTGGGAGATAGAAACAAGTTAAGAAATAGAGAGAGTGTGCGAAATAGAGGCATAGAAAGAGAGTAGGAGATAGATAGATAGATAGATAGATAGATAGATAGATAGCATGCGAGAGAAAAAATTGTTGGAAAGAGATAAATAGAAAGATAGAAAAAGAGACAGAAAAAGAGATATAAAGAGACAGCTAGAAAGAGAGAGAGAGAGAGGAAGATTGATAGACAGCAGAGGAAAGAGAGACGGGTAGATAGAAAGAGAAAGGAAAGGAAAGAGAGGAAAAGATTCAGTGTGTGTGTATGTGTGTGAGAAATGAATAGAGGGGGATAGAGAGATAAGGATACAGAAAGAGAACTTTTTTGGAGGGATACAAAATTTAATCAAATCGATAAATACGGACATGTTGAAACAAGAAGAAAGAGAGAGAGATAGAAAAAGAGATAGAAAGAGAGATAGAAAAAGAGAGAGCATCCGAGAGCGAAAGAGTGATGGAAAGGGGGTAAGAAAGAGACAGTGAGATAGAGAAATGGAAATAGAGTGACTGATAAAAGAGGAAAAAGAGAGATAGAAAGATGAGTAGAAAGAAAACATATCAAAAGAAAGAAATATCGAAAAATGGACAGAAAGAGAATCAAGCAGAAACAAAAGGAGTTAACGAGCGATATATATATATATATACAGTGTAACCCGGATATAAGAGACCCGGATATAAGAGAAACCCGGATATAAGAGAGATTTTCTCTGGTCCCAAATTAGAGCCTGTGTTAATGTATATAAAATAGACCAAACCCGGATATAAGAGAAACCCGGATATAAGAGACTTTTCTCCGGTCCTGACAACTCTCTTATATCCAGGTTACACACACACACACACACACACACATTCTCTTCTCTCTCTATATATATATATATATATATATATATATATATATATATATAGAGAGAGAGAGAGAGAGAGAAAGAGAAACAGCGAGATAGAAAAATACAGCGAAAGCGATAGAAAGAGAGGTATAGGAAGAGCGGCAACCAGAGAGATAGGGTAAGACAGAAAGCGAGAAAAAGCGAGGTAGTAAGAGAGTGATAGAAAGAGATTGAGAGAGTGAGTGCTCTCGGCGCGTTATACAATGAGTACGGAAGAAATTAATGAAATATTTGCGTGTCTGCGTCGGAAGACAGAGGATGTTGCTGTGGGTAATGGTTAACGAGTACAAATCGCAGTGGCATTACTACTGTATGGCAGGTTTGATCCACTGTGGGAGCCCCAGGCTTGAGCATTGTTTCAGACAACGCCAACGGAAGTAAATATAGGCACTTCCGTTTTTGGTCATCTTTGGTTCTTATCATGAGCTACACACACACACACACACACACACATATATATATATATATATATATATATATATATATATAAATCCGGATCATCCCATATGAGCCACAAAGAAGGAAGGGGTTACAGATGTAAAAGAATTAGGAACGGAAAAACTAATAATGAGCAGGAAGAGAAAAGACTAACCAGGAGGACAGTACACTATTTCCATTATTCGGACTACCGTCCTCATCTTTGTTGCCATATTTATCACAACGTTTCGGCCGTTATACGCTCCGGCCTACTTCAGGTGGTTGGAATGTCGAACTGAATCCTTTATTTCGCTTGCTGGGGTAGACGAACAGTTCTAGTTCCTCGTGCCAGGTCTAAGGACCTGAAGAAGGCCGGAGCGTACAACGGCCGAAACGTTGTGATAAATATGGCAACAAACATGAGGACGATAGTCCGAATATTGGAAATAGTGTGCATAATACCTCATCTCAGAAATATAGACAGATACAGGACAGTAGACAGAAAACTTCATGCAATTAAATTTGGCTGGAAAGCATGGTCTCGTAACGATGCAAACACACTGCCTCGTAACGATGCAAATATGTTACCTTGTAATGTTACATTAGCATAAGATATCAGAACGTTTCATCATCTAAATAAGGCTGGAACGAAAGGTCTGTCCTATTTTTGAGCGGGGAAAGTTGAGCAAAATGTCTTTTTCTTTTCAGATTATAAAAAAAATATTATATATAAAATAATTCGGAAGCTGCCTATATGTTCGTCCCGACCAAAGAACACGTTAGAAAGGTTTTATTTTATTTTTATGTGCCATGTCCTTTCAGAAAGTGGGCGATCATGGTCTTCCATCCCTTGCAGCTCTCAACAACTTCCTTCCCTCTGCTTCCTTTCCCAGACCACGTTGTGTCATCCACTTCGTTAAGCCCACCAGGTATGTCACACGTTGTTTTTCCTTGTCTCTCTTTCCCTCTGTTCGTCCCGTGAGTATCACATTCTTCAAGCCCTCCTTCCTCATTATGTGTACTAGAAACTTCAGCTGCCTCTTCCTGGTGTTAAGAATAAGCCGACTCCGTATTTGCAACCTCTCTAATACTTCATCGTTGCTTATACGCTTGGTCCATGATATCTTCAGCATCCTCGCGTCTCTTCTTCATCTTTGAGGAAATCGTTCAACATTCGCCGCCGAAAAGAAGGACAGATGTCACGTAACAGCCCAGTATTCTTTTCTTTGTTACCAAAGATATCCTCCTGTCTTGCAATACTCCGCACAGCTTTTGGAATGTGTCATTTGCCATCCCAATATGTCTACGGATCTCAGTGTCGCACTTACCGTTCTCTGTCAGAAAGCTTCCCAGATATCTAAACTTCCGCGTCTGTTCATTCTGGTGTTCAGAACCTGTAAATCGCAGTTCGTGCTCATCCTTTTACAGATGACCATGCATTCTATTTTCTTGTAGTTTATACTTAGTCCCTTCTTCACACTCTCCGTCGTTACCTTCTGTAGAAGATTTTGTAGTTTCTTTTCCGTGTCTGCTATCAGTACTGTGCCGTCTGCGTTTCACTATAGTTTCATAAAGTTGTCAGCACAAGTGCAGCATCAAATTCCATCCAGCGAACTTATAGGGTCGATACAGTGAGGGAAAGAAGTTGCGGAAGGTGTTTTCCCTATTTTAAAACTGTGAATTTTAATCTAGAGGGGAAGCCAAGTGAGGGTCGCCCCAAAAGGAATCAATTGAGAAGATTTAGAATCTGATGTTATAACAAATTCTGTCAGTAGTGAACTCAATGAGAAATTTAATGTTAGTTATACGGCAGTCTTACGCGAATTTCAAAGGATTGGGAAGATTTCATTGGTTGGAAAATGGATCCCGCATGACCACTCTCACTTGATAATCGCCAACTATGTGTTTATTGTGAGAGAAGGCACGGTGGAGTAATGGATAGCGGCTTGGATTGAGGAATCGGAGAGCCCAGTTCGAATTCCAGTCGAATCCATTACATTCACTTACGTGCTAATACCCTTGGGAAAGGTGTGAATACTCTTCCTCTCCCTCCAGTTATGGGTAAAATAACAGGACAGACTGGGTTCTATAGCCTTGGATAGCAACTGGTCTAGGAGAAGGAAAACTCTGAATTCAAAACCTGCAGAGTGTCGTAGTGCACCAGGTCTTTGTAATCGGCCCTTCAAAAAGTGTGGATGGTCCTGCACGAAACCTTCACCCCTATAATCAAATCTCATGTGCTATACATGCGGGTTTGTGGACCGCTTGTGAATTCCAAATTCCCATGAAACTCCAATATTGGAGCCGGCTCAACCCACCCCGGGTGAATGCCGTTACAAGAACAAGTTTATTGTGAGTCATTGCTTACACAACTTCAAGTGTCCTTTTCGGGGAGGGGGTTGCTACTGGTGGGGAGCAATGGATCCTTTACCTTTACTAAGTTAAGCGTCGTTGTCAGTGGATCAGTCGACGAAACAGACCCTGTTTAGCAACTGAGAGGAGAACTCCACCCAAAGGAGATCACGTTGAACGTATGGTAGGATATTATCCATCTTGAACTGTTAGACATTAATAAAGTAACCGAAGCTGATCTCTACTGCCAACAACTTTGCCGTTTGAATATATATAGTGATTTTCCAAGCGTAGCTTAGATGTGACACAAAGCCGAAAGTATGGGGTACCCAGTGAGGATCGAACTCACTACTCAGTCGTAATTGTTCTCGCGAGACAAGCGTGCTAACCATTACATCGCTTCGAGGTGCCCCTAATAATTTTCCAAGCGTAGCTTAGAGGTGACACAAGGCCGAAAGTATGTGGCACCCAGTGAGTATCGAACTCACTATTCGCTCATAACTGTTTTAGCGAGATAAGCTTGCTAACCATTACACCGCCTCGAGGTGCGCTAAAATGATCTTCTAAGCGTAGCTGTGACACAAGGCCGAAAGTATGTGGCACCCAGTGAGGATCGAACTCACTATTCGCTCATAACTGTTTTAGCGAGATAAGCTTGCTAACCATTACACCACGCCGAGATACCCAAACAACTTTAGATATAAATCGTAGACATCATCGTTAGTCAACAGGCTTTATGAGAATGGGAATTTTCTTAATAAATCGTTATTACCTTTCTGTTGACTAAGTATGATTCCTACGGTAGACTAAATATCTCAAAAAGAAGCTCGCTTGGGAGAAATGCTTCGTTCTCCATATTCTTCCGATCTTGTTCCTTCTGATTATCTCTTATTTAGAACCCTGCAGAGCAATTTGGCTAGCTTATGTTTGACATCAATAGAAGAGGCTTAACGTGATTTGGTCTCGTATTTTACATCAAAACATGAATAATTTTACAAAGTTGGCATCTATAAACAGATAGAATGAGGTTCTAGGAATAAATGAAGGTTACACTAGTGATTAAATATTTTTATAAGCGTTAATATTTTCTTTTGTAATATACACGAGAAAATCGTTCAGGACAATCGTTTATAACTGGAAATTCTCAATGTCAAAATATGCGAGAAGAAATTTTACACCTATGTATAACGTTAAGTAAAGCAAGATTATTATGATATTATTTGACCATTGCGGACATTTTCGCCTGCATCACTTCCGCAACATTATCATGACGTTGTGACAACGTTTCAAGATGAGCGGCCAATTTAGGCTCGAGGAAATAGTTGATTACAACGTTTCGAAAATCGCCCCAAACGTCAGCTATTGCTTAACTAAATGATGTGGGCCCAAAGTTGGGACCACGGAAGGAAAACACGGAACACTGATTAGAGGTAAGAAATATATATTAAACAAAAAGGTTACAAAGATAGTGTAAGTGTAAGCGGAGCTTACTATGTGCTAGTGTCCAATATTGGTAGTCGTACGCGGCTGATACTACGGTATTAAAATACTCTCTCTCTCTCTCTCGCTCTCCCTCTTCTCCTAGAGTTTTATATCACATACTTTATATAGTCCTGGAAGAGTCCATGTTGTAGGTATGTTACAGTCTCACAAGACTAAATTACAACGAACATGCAACGTTGCGTGAACGATCCGTGTTAGCTGGGATACAAGGAGACGAACATGTCTCCAGCATCTTTATCGAGAGATCTTTTATGGATGATTTTAACTCAAGCTTTGGTCGGGCTTGAACTTGATTCTCAACAGACGTTCAAAGCAAGGGACTTCCACCCCTGAAAGTGGAGCCGTTTATCGGGTCTAGATAAAACACAGGATCAGCTCCATGAAAGGCTACTACCTTGATTTTTGTGACATTTAAAGTTACAAGCCAGTTTTTCCTTCCAGTTTTCGAGCCGTTAGAACTCGATCAAAAGAAAGAGACGAACATGTTTCCAGCATCTTTACCGAGAGATCTTTTATGGAATCTAAATCAGTTAAAAAAGAAATCAGCTGCCAGGCTCTGATCCTGCAAGTTGTTAAAGATTTTAAAACTGAGTGGCTTCCATTAAATTTTCTCTCATCTGTAGTTGTCTTTCAGCATATCAGAGGACTGCAGGTCGATAAACTTTTAATTGTAGGACTTAATGAGGTATTCTCTTTAAAAATGATTATTGAAGAATATTAAACATAGCCTTCAGGCCGGAAGAAAACCTCACGTTGTGCTGGATATGGCCGGCGGGCCGTCGCTTGTCTGCCATACGTTTACAGTATCACATGGCGCGAATAACAATATAAAACTCTTGCATATGTCCTTTGGGCATTTTTGACGTAACAATTATACACGTTTGCTGCATATGGCGGAAGATATTTGACACCATTCAGTTATTAATTCAAATGAACTGACGAAACGTTCAGTAACTCTCTTGTTCACGTCAAATAGAGTTAATAAACTGTCAGTGGTATGAACTAGACTTGGAATAATTATTAAACTGTTATGTAATATCAGTCCTCCTAGATGGTAATCTCCTCACATATAGAGAAGAGACGTGAAACAACAGGTTCTACTGAAGAATGCTGAAAATACCATTGACCGAACATGTGAGCAACGGCAATTTATACATAACATCAAGGAGACAGTTGCAATTTCTAGGTGACATGATGAGGGCTTGGCAAATCTGACACTCACAGGACAGACTGAAGGCAAGGTGGACAGACGAAAACAACGCATAACCACCAAACTCGTGCAAATTAACTGAAACAAAACCAATAATTCCGTTATTATTTACTTTTTTTCGTATTTTTCCAATGAAACATGACCAGTGTCCATGTTAGTACTTCATATATCCATTCCACGAAGTCATTCCTTGCAGATTGACCATAGATTCTCGATTGAATTAAATCAGGAGATTTTCCGGGCCAGTCTATAGTACTTTGATTTGCTCACTGGTAAGGCTTGCCAGAGTATTCGGGCAGCGTTACACTTTTCGAACGCTTCCTTGGAGTTACGTCCATCGCAGACAATGGCCGTAGGACAACTAATCGACAGTCGAGAGAATAGTGTCTGGGCGTGATAAAATTTTGATGTAATCACGGATGACGCAATATTTTTAAAACCAAACAAATTTTCTCATACCACACGAAAGTATATTTATATCTAAGCAGATTATTAAGAAACAGAAAAAATCGTTAGAAACAAGGAAAAGTGTAACGTAATATCCGTCCTTCTGTATGACAGTTAGTGCTCGACATAGATGAAGAAGAGACTTGAAACAAGAGAAATCCAGTTCTACATAAGAATGCTGAGGATACCATTGACCGAATATGTGAGAAACGACAATTTTCTTTTTATAGAAAACAAAAAAAAAGGACATTTATACTTATCACCAGCAAGGAATTGAAAATATCTAGGGTACTTAATGAGAAAGAGGCCTTGTAAAATTTTATACTCACAGTTTGGAGGCAAGAGGGACAGAGGGAAACGCATAACCTATCCAGAGAATTGGAGTAAATGCATTGCGGAAGTTGTAACCACTTGGCCACGTTCCAATTTCTATATATATATATATATATATATATATATATATATATATATATATATAATTCAAATGCGTATGTATAGACACAACACCACCCGTATACATACATATGTCATATCCGAAACTGCCCACATATGTTTATATATGTATGAGTCCCGACGGACGACCAAGTATGTATATGTGTCTGCATACATCGATGTTTGCGTTAGTACGATGAATGACAAAACGACGAAATTTTCCCCACCACTTCCACAATAACACCAATACACGCAATCTACATAAACCCAAAATTTTAAAACAATTAATCAGTTTGTCTGACGATCGCTAAAGCGTAAAACCCAGGGTCACAAACTCACATCTATCCAACCAAATATGTTAGCTCTATCTCTGATATTGAGCGCTTTTAATAAGTACCATATATATAATATATAAATAATATATATATATATATTTATTTATATTTATATGCACACACACACACACACACACACACACACACAC